GATACGTTACGACAACCCTAAACGCAGAAAAGCTAAGGTCAATCTTGGCAAGGCATTATTATCGACAGAGAAACCAAATATTTGGTACCAGCTCGTGATACCAGCTCGGAGTAATATATTATGAGCCGCTTAAACTAAACAAGACAATTACAGCAGACATTTAAGAACGACGAATGATCAAGCTGAGCCAAGCATTGAAGGATAAAAAGCTGCAATATACCGAAAGACGTGACAAGTTTATTCATTAACATGACAACGTACAATCCCATGTTGTAAATTTTTTGAAAATCTACCTGGAGAACCTCAAATGAGACGTCTTACGCAACCACCCATATTCATCAGACATTGGCCTCTCTGACTAACATTTTTTCCGGTCGATGACCCATTGCCTGACTGAGTAGCAATTTTTTTCTTATGATAATACCAAAAATTGGATCGATGACTTGATTGCTTCAAAAGGCCAAAACTTTTTCTTTATTTCTTTTTTACCTCTGCAAGATCGAGAAAACTACTACAGTTGGGGAGGCTACTTTTTTGTGGTCACATCCCTTTCTTAACTCTTTAACTCCAAAACAAGGTTTTAACTAAAAAACAAGGTTGCTGCGCGGAAAAAAAGTTGACCGTGATACTACCAGAGACGTGGGGATTGAACTTGGAACTTTTCGCTTATTTAGTGGGCGCACTACCACTACACCGCTACTGCATTAACCTGAAAGATGGGAGGAGGTCGTAGCTGCCGAAGGACAGTATTTTGTATGATCTGAGTTTGATAATCTTCTCAAAATAAACTGCTGATTTTTATAAAATCACTTTCAATTCATACTCATAATACTTTTTTTAAATATACAATATCAGATATGAAAGGTGAAATATTATTTTCTATAAGTAAAAAGACAGCCCAGAAAAATTGTAAACCATATAAAGTTATTTCGCACGTAAATATTGTCTTGCTAAACCTGAGATAATGGGTACCACTACATCAATAGATATACACATACATAATTTATAAAATTTTATATCATACTGGTTTGATATAAAGTTTTAACTTATTTGTTAGTACTAGCTATGTTTATTTATTAGTTATATTTAGTTAGTATTAACTTAGTTATAAATATTTAGTATTAACTAATTAGTAAATAATTAGTATTAACTTAGTTATAAATATTTAATATTAACTAAATAATTAGTAAATAATTAGTATTAACTTAGTTATAAATATTTAGTATTAACTAGCTAGTAAATAATTAGTATTAACTTAGTTTTAAATATTTAATATTAACTAAATAGTTAGTATTAACTTAGTTATAAATATTTAGAACTAACTAAATAAATAGTAAATAATTAGTATTAACTTTGTTATAAATGTTTAATATTAACTAAATAATTAGTATTAACTTAGTTCTAAATTGAATTGGTGAATGTTAAAAGGGTGGAAGTCCAAAATTAAAAACTTTCGGGAAACTAAAATAAACATTTCCCCCTGTAGTAAACTTTTGTTAATGGTTTAATAATTTTTTTTTAAGGTGAAAAACATTATTCTCTTCAAAATAAAAGATTATAAAACCATTGACAAAAAATTACTATGGGGACAATGCAGTTTATTTAGTTACCTGAAAGTTTTCATAGTTGGACTTTTTTTAACATTTACCGATTCAATTAAGTTAGTACTAACTTTTGTTAATACTAACAAACGATTACTTTTTATAAAGTGACAGCTATAACAACCAATTGACCAGCATAAACCTCACCTGTATGTGAGTTAAAAGAAGAAACTAATGTTAAGGAAACATTAGATATAAAAATCCTAAATTTAGAATTCAATGATCACTTTGATGAATATACACCTTTTCTTTAATATACCCAGATCTGCTTAAAAAACATTAGATTTGAATAAATTCAAGCATTAATCAAAAAAGAAACATTTATGGAAATTGAAGTGGTTGTTGTTAAACTTGCTCTTTGTACAGACCAAATGAAGTCGGAACTAATATTATTACTGATGTGATGTCAATTAGTCTCGCAATCATATTTGTATGTAGTTGACAATTTAAAAAAAGATTTTAAAACAAAATAACAAAACGGTACGAAAAATTTAGTTACTCGGTATAGTTAAGGCAGTTTTAAAACATTACAGCTCCAGTATGATATAATTTTGATCACAACATATTAACGATAAATGGGCAGGTCTTTGAATTATGAAAAGGCAATAAAAAATTTTGCCGTAACATAACGTCAGCCCAGAACCAAGAGGTCGTATGTTCATTTTTATTGCTTCCAAGAAAATCAAGTTTTAAAATTTATTTTGTATAACTTTTTGCCAGAATGTCCGACTAATTTTTAAAATATTTTCAAAATTTTTATCATTCTTGAGACTAGATTTATCGGACACAATGATGCCCGATAAATCTAGTCTCAAGAATGATGCAACTTAAATGTGGACATCCGGCCTCTTGGTTCTCGGCTAACAATAAAATAAAAATGTTTGTAGCGAGAAAACCCAAACCTAAGATTTTTTTTTTCTTTTTATAATGTTCAAAGATATTATAAAAACCTGAAACAAAATAAGTTATAACACCTAAAGCTAGTCGATACTTTGTTCCAGTGAGCAAATCCAGGTTTTGCGATTTTTGTAAAATCAAGACCTGAATTATTTAAATTTATATAAACCATTTATACTCATTTTCTTATAATAATTTGTGATAGATAAATAATTTAATATGTTTATTATATTAAACTATTATTTTTAATATATTATAGCAAAATTTGTTTAACTTATTACTATTAAAAACGAATTCAATATTCAAGTACTTATTATATTCGGGTCAGAATTTTATAAAAAAACCCAAAACCTGGATTTGCTCATATGGAATTTAGTTTCAACCTCTAAAGCTTTTGTTTGAGCATAATACGCTGACAATCATGCTAATTTCAAATAAAAGGATAAGCATAGTTTAAGAATTTTAGCATTAAAATCAACATACTTCACTGAGTGGTTTTCTTTTAAATAGAAACTTAAATTGGTCAAAAAAGTTAATGAGTTGCATGCTAAAACTAATTTTACCTACTATTATTATTATTATTATTATTATTTTTTATCATAATTATTACTATCGACCATTAATCTTGTCCCGAAAATTAAAAATATACTAAAAGTTTATCACACAATCAAAAACACGACAAAGTGCAATGGCTAAAACAAAGTGAGCTTAAAAAAATTTTTTAAAAAAATTTTTTTTTTAGTTATATCTGACAAAAATGTCATAAGATTTATTTTAAACAGAAAAATTTTCTCATAGATAAAAAGATTAAGAAGTCTTAAAAATTTATTAAGTCATAATAATACACAATAATAGACAAATAAATAAACAATAAAGGATAAATAAATACACAATAATAGATAAATAAAGGTCTTAACATATCAACAATTGAAACGGTGTTATAATACCGTTCCGCCCAAATATAAAACATTGGTGCTATACATAACAATTTATCATAATCAAAAAGCTACCATTATATCATTAGAATATTAAATCTATTTATCTAATCTGTTCTCTTTGGGTTTTTTAATTATACTAGAATGATTTTTAAGAATGATTTTATAATATTATGGTTATTACTGATTTATTAAAATACTCGATGTAAAACTTATGTTTTCTCTCGGTTATACAAAATAAGTTAGTGAACAAAAAATGATGAAAAATTTTCAAATCTGTTTCCTTGCTTCGCTGTTAAAGTTTTCTTTAACATTTTCTTATGTGCCAAGGAATTTTAACGGTACAACTCCAAACATAAAAGAAATCATTATAGGACGTTGCAACCAATTCCAACAAGTGAGTTCTCAAAACAAAAATCCAGCATTGTTTGTTAACGTTGATTGTCAGCAATTTTGGAGTTTGTTTAATAGTAGTTTTGCATTTAAAGATTCTTGCAACTATGGTGAAATAAATGAAAGCAGTTACGATTTGTTATTCAATCTTACAAAAAGTGACAGTTTATTAAAAGATCAGGTATTCTTTACATATATAATACGTATTTTAAGTATGCTTAACATATAATTTTATTATATATATATATATATATATATATATATATATATATATATATATATATATATATATGTGTGTGTGTGTGTGTGTGTGTGTGTGTGTGTGTGTGTGTGTGTGTGTGTGTGTGTGTGTGTGTGTGTGTGTGTGTGTGTGTGTGTGTGTGTGCGTATCAATTATTTTTTAGATTTTTTATTTTCAAAAATGATGGAGGGAGTTTGCGTTTTTAAACGACTTTAAGAGGATTTCAAATCTACGATCTACGGATTAAAAAAAAGTTTAACGATGACTCGCTGGGTGGGTCTGTTATATTTTAAACAAAAAAATGTCTAAAGTATAATAAACTCAAGGAAAAAGTGTTTAAGATATGACGAATTAAAAAACTATTGTAATTTAAAAAATAACTTTTTTGAAAAATTTTTCTCAAAGTCATAATGTTGAGTTTTTGTCGATGATGTTTTTTAAAAAAATTAAGGATTCGAAGGATACGACTTTTTATAAAGAAAAAAAGACTAATATATAACTAATTGGAAGGAATAATAAACTTATTTATTTTAGTTTTCAATATTAGTTTTAGAATTTAATAAAAGCATAAAAGAGTTAGCCTCATACCATCAAGTTTCCTGTTAATGCCCTAAATGCAAAATCGGACTAATTTTTCTAAAAACAACTTTCGCAAACTCACTTTATGTTAGCTTAACTATGACTCTTTTAACCAAATATAAAACTTTCTTTAAAATCATAAAATAAATTGTAAATTTACTAAAGATTTTACAATTTTTTATTTATTTATTGTAATGTTATTCTTTATTAGTTATAGTTTAATCATTTTAAAAAAGCTCTCTCAAAAACGCAGACCCAGCTAAACATCACATTTAATTTTTTATTGCTGATTTAAAATCTCTTACGTTTTTGAAATTAAAAGTACATTATTTGACTCACCCGTTATATATATATATATATATATATATATATATATATATATATATATATATATATATATATATATATATATAGTATATATATATATATATATATATATATATATATATATATATATATATATATATATATATATATATATATATATATATATATATATATATATATATATATATATATATATATATATATATATATATATATATATATATATATATATATATATATATAGATATATATATATATATATATATATATATATATATATATATATATATATATATATATATATATATATATATATATATATATATATATATATATATATATATATATATATAGATATAGATATATATATAGATATATATATCTATATATCTATATAGACGCCGTATAGACGTCTCGCGGACGCCTGTGCCCGCTGGGGTTCAAAAATTATGACCATACCCAGTGGGAACGCATTGTCCAGAGAACGTACGCCGGACGTCTAATGGACGCCCAGACATCCGTAAGACATCCGACTGACGTTATCAAATAAAAGCCATAAAAAATAAACATCACATTATTGCTGAAACCCTAAAAATCTACATAAATCTATTTTCAAAAAGTTCAAATTAAAATAAGGAGGACTCCTACGTTCTAGAACATAAAGAGCTCGCAAAAAAATTTTCGACAACATCAAGGGTCGATGTTATAAAATCTTTTACCGGCGTAAAATGGTACCGGCGGAAATTTTACTATAGGAATTTTTACAGCCGTAAATTGAAAGTTATTGTAACATTGAATTGAAAATGTTTTTCTATTCAACATTATGAAACTTTTCCGCATCAAGTTTTGTAGATATCTATGCTCTAAATTTATTCTTATAAATTTATTGTTCGGATTAATAACATTCTTAAGACATAAAAGGCTGTTTTTATGTTTTAAGAATGTTATTAATCTGAGTTGAAATCTTTAACTCAAAAACAAAATATTTTTGAGTTGAAGATTCGAAAACATCAAAGTTAACAAATTAAAGGTTTTAAATCCAGTTTTGTCATGGACTTGCACTGTTCCGATTCTGATGAAGAACAGTTTGTTGCTTCAGAATATTTAGCAAATCAGAGACAACCAAGAGAGGTAAAACTATTCAAATAGTATTTAAACTGTTAAGAATAACCAATACTATCTTCTGTAAGCTTAGGAAACAAATGGTCTATAGAAATAGAGGCTTCTTTAGACTACCTATTGCGATTCAATACAATATTTTATTGACTTTTTGTAGTTGAATTCAAAGACTATTTGTTTCAAAATTCTATAGAAAATTGTGTTCATTTAAATATAGAAAATCTTTAGTAACTTTGTAAAGTTGTTATTAGAAGGAAAAATAAAAAAAATTGCGTAAGAAAACTTTTTAAAAAAATTACTTTAAATATTAAATAATTTTAAAATTATTCAGAAATTCATTATGTAAATTCTTTTGATACTTTCTGCTTAGAATTTTATCAAAAATATGTTTTGACGTGTTTCCGTACCATAAAAAGTATGAGAAACCTTAAAAACATGTTGTAAATGATCTAGAACACTTTCTGAATAGGAAGAAAAACCTTCGATGGATTTTTTTGCTGCTTTATCTGACTTTATGAAAATTATTTGAGCTTATACATTATTTGAGCATCAACGTTAATTTCTAGAATTTTATTAATTTGATCTATAGTTAGACCACTTTTTTTCAAATTTAATGAGGCAATCACAAACGCTGTTGCGTAATAACGAATAAAATGCTATTTGTAATATCTAAGTGAAAAAATTATACTATGCAACAACAACAAAAAAAGGAGTGGTTTTATATCCATAGAAGCGACAACAGAATGTTACTCGAGAAAAAACTTGCATAAAATTATCAGAAAAAGTTAAAATCAAATTATAACGAACAACATCCGCAGCTTCATTACACTGCTCAGCAGGTAAAATGAATTCCCTCTCAGCAGGTAAAATGAAAGTGTCAAATTTATTTTACTATGATGCTGTTTTGACCATGTTCGGAGTAACCTCGCGTTCGCCATTACGCTACTCTTCCTTAGTAATAAAGAGAAAATATTTCAGTTCAGAAAGATTAGTTAGTAGAAAATAGTTCAGTTCAGCTCAGAAAGATTAAAAAATATTAAAACACAACTAAAAAGAGAAAAAAAAAAGATAAATAGAAGCTCAGAGTTAGGTTTATAAATAATAAGTTCAAGAAAGGTATAAGATTTATAAGCAATGTTTTTCTAAAAAATAGTTAAAGAAACCAGTTTTAAATTTTGAGAATGAGTTACATTTCTTACATGGCAAATCCAGTAAAAAAATATTAACAATAAAATCGCTAATAAAAGTTTATTAAAATCTGTGCACTTTATTGAAATGAATGAATCTGTAATAAATTTTCAACTCAAGGTAAGTACTTTGAAAAGTTCTGAACCACAGGTTTCTACGACTAAGTATTCATATCTTTGGATCTTCAACAAAAATTTATGTAGGTCACTCCTCCGGAACATTTATCGACTGTAAAACGTTTTGGCTGTAAAAAATTATTGCTGGTAATTTTTAAAAATATTTTATAACACTGAAAAAAATCATTTACGCCAGAAAATTTTACCGCCGGTAGCATTTTACGCCGATAAAAAGTTTTATAACATTAACCCCAGGAGGAAATTTTTTCATTGATGAGACTGTTTTACTAAAGGATAAAAAAACTAAATCGGATGTACAAGTCTTTTCATAATTTATTTGTCTTCATTCCCTGTATTTTTTACATTCTTTATTTCTTCTTGAACTTCTTCACAAAATAGACATACAGACATAATAAACTTTCTGTTACTTCCAAATGATTAAACAAGGTCTTTTAAAGGATCTGAGGCATGTAATACCAATGGTACAAGCATGAATACAGTTTTGCAGCTTCCTGACAAAATAAGAGAAACTTACTGATATTTTTTTCGAATTTACATAAATACCGATTAAATATTTTGTTGGAATCTCTTTTGTACATTCGTTTTTTGTTTTTGAAACAATAGTTTTCTCTGCGTTTATTCTTGTTTTTCACTTGATACAAAAAACATTCAAAAAATCTTACTCGTGGATAAAGTGTAAGTAATCCATTTTGCAGTCAATTTAGTGAATAGGAAAGTTTCATTACTTTGTCAAAGTTTTTTTATAACTTTCAATGAACACAAAAAGAATTTTTTGCGTTAAGTGAGGCAGTATGTACTTTGCTAACTTAAATGGTAAATCTGACTTAAATGAACATGCTAACTCAAACTTGAACTTGATAACTCAATACAAGTTTCAACAAAATTAGAGATTTGATTTCGTGAGAAAGAATTTATTACTCTACGAAGAAACCACGTTATTCTCATTTAGAGAACTTGGTTTTTGTCGGAGAGTAATAAATTAGTTTCTTACTTAATTTAAATCTAAAAGGTCAACAAAATAAAATAGACCATGGTTTCCATGGCTTCATGTTTTCGGGTTTCTTTAAGCAACAGTTTCTCTAACAAAATTTGTAATCATAAGTAGAACAAAGCAAGTTAAAAATAATAGTTCTTCTTTTTTCAAATTGCGTAGACTAGAGATAAACATTTACTGGTTGTATATGATTTGGCCAGTATTGCCATCAAAGCCTGCTGTATGTAAAAGAGGTGTTTTTTTACACTTTCATATAATAAATGAAACATCATTTTTAATTTGACAATGTTTTTGTGCTGTATGGTGACATAAACGTTATGATTGCGGCATATTCAGTAAAAACCATGTTGTTCGGGTAGCACGAAAGATTTGATGATTTATATTGTTACTGATTGCATTGTTTTGCGATTGTAGGATTTCTATGTTGAAATGCAGCCTTGGTCATATTTGAAACTAGCATCAACAACAATGATTTGTTTCCAAAAATAATAGAAGACTCTACAGAATACGTTTTGTTGATTGCTTTAGCTTTTTATGTTTTTATTTCTTTATTTAATTAAAATTTTGAAGCAAATGGTAAATCATTTGATAACTTTTTTGAAGTTGGTTAATTTGTCAATACTTTCCTGTAGAACGCTTTTATAAAACACTCTTGAAAGATAGCAACCAGCACTTAAGGAAGATAGATAACTTATAGCAAATTATAATTAAATAAATCTAATTATTCAGCTACTTCGAGTTTTTAACAAATATAGATTTAGTGCGTTTAGATTTATTTCAGTCTAATTTATGATCGGCTAAAATGCTCACAAGTATTGTTCTCTCAGATCGCTTTTTTTTTCGTATGTTTCTCAGTTTTTTTATAACCAATTTTTTGGCAGTTTTGGAGGAATTGCGAATAAATTAATAAAATTATAGTTTCCTATTTAAGTTTCAATTTTAATTTATATTCATCTGTTTTTTAGCTGTATAATAATTTGAGTTGTATTTAATTGCGACAGGAGTTACACAAGATTTGGGGAGTTACACAAGATTTGGAAAAAAAAAGGCATTGATATTACATTTAGCATAAAAAAATGTAAAAATGCACAGAACTTGCAGAAAATGCAAAAAAAAAAAAACCGATAACGATTAATACAATATCACGCGAAAAACACGTTTAATGATGGTTTTAAAACCACTTAAAATGCCTTTGTTTAAAAAGTTATCTGATACTAGATGGTTAGCACATTGTGATGATGTAAACTCCCTCAAGGTTGGCTATACATAAAAGATACCTACACAGAATATGTCAAGATATGTCTCAATAGCAACAAACATGGCTTGAAGCGGCAAGATTAAAATATATACTGAGCCATCATGAAACAGGTGTCCTAGTTTAAATGTGCTAAAATTCTGAATAGGTTCAATTTTAATAGAAAGTTCTGATAAGTTTAAAGCTGATCGTTTTTTTTGCCTATAAAATAGAGGGTTAATGCATATGACACAATCAGGAAAAGGTTTGATTTTCTTAAATATGTACAATCTTTGTCCCATGATGGTATGAAAGATCATGTGTTTATTTCTATGTGAAACATATTTTGAAGATATTGATGCTAACTGTAATGGTGAATTTATTCACTTTACTTCTCTGTTTGCCAAATTGTCACCACCCAATGAAACTATTTATGTTGAACTGCAAATGTTTACTTTTCTAGTTAAGAATAGTTTGACAAATACTTTTCCGATTGTCTACACTGTGTTGAGAATTTTTTTATCTTTTATGGTCACAAACTATACTAGAAAAAGAAGTTTTTCTGTCCTTAAAAGAAATAAGAATGAAATTAGATTAACAATGGGACAGCCTTGCTTAAACAATTTATTATACATTGAAAGTGACGTAGTTATGTTAGGAGATTTCACAGCAGTGGCTAAGAAGTTTGCTTCAGAAAAGGCCATAAAAGGCAAGTTATAAAAACTATTTTATGGTTAATTAATTAACTTAATAGTACATTAGTTATGCTACTTTTTTTTTTTCTTTATACTTTCAAAATAAAAACGTATAATAATTCTAGCTTCAGTTAATTATTTTACACCATCAACAACATAAAAATTATATAGGTTTGCTTATATTGATAAATTTCGATCATATTCCATTATTACGGATTAGTAGTTGAAAGTTATTCTGATATATCCGAGTTTAAACAACTTATAAACTCTTCTTTTTTGCAATACTAATTATGAACCAAACAATAATTATTTGTTACAACTTTATATATGGAAAAAAGTGACATTATATTCAGGATATTGGAGAATGGTTTACTTGATACATAATAGCACAAGTTAACAGCAAATGTTAACTTGTACTATTATGTATCAGGTAAATGTTGTTTTATGTTTATTTGACTAATTCCTCTAATAAACAAGTCATCATTTTGTCAAATTTTCCGCTTGTAATGTTGACTATGATTTCTTGGTATTTAAACACTCTAAACTCATTGTGCGGTGTTAAATAAAGATAAGAGAAACTTGTTGTTGTGACTGCATTTTGAAATCAATTTTACATTTGTTCGAGATTTTAAATTTTTTATCTTTTATATCCTAAATTTCTTTAGGTAGCTCAGTATCAGCTAAATAACAGCTCAACATCATTTCTATATTTAATAATGCTGAAAGACTTTAGATAATTAGCAAACCAAGATTTAAATGGAGTATCGCATTATTCAAAATATGTTTTTTCTATATAATACGGTTTATTTGATAATAAAGTATCTTGAAAGATGATGTTCTTTGTTAACTGCTGGTTATTTCTTGGGCTGATGGATTTTTCTCAGTTGTTTTATGGTTATATAATGTATTTTAATTATGCGAATTAATGATAGACTTAACGTTTCGTATCATTAACTTATTTGAATTGTCTATTTAGTATTTTATGCATAATTGCATAGTCATGTTTCAAAGTTTGTAAACAACGGAAAAATGCAGATCATTTATAGCCTTGATAAGAACGAATGGATTTTATAAAAATGCTTTCATTTAAAGAATGGAAAAAAAATATTGAACTAAGTCACAAGTTTTTGCCCCATTTAAGGCGTAAAAAATTGTTAGCATAAACCAATTGCAAAATATGCATAACACTGTACATTGGTTTTAATGTATAGCCAAAAAACTTCAATACAAATTCTTAATTTCAATATAACTTATTTTTACCCTTCAATCAATAAAAGGTAGTCACAGCCTTTGAGGAAACCACTTATTTAAGAAACAAGACCATCATCACGTCATATATGAAAAATCACATATTTTAACAGGTAAAGATGAAAATCTAATAAATAAAAAAAACAAGCTGATTTCAAAATGCAGTCACAAGAATAAATTCCTCCTCTTCGTGATAAGCTAATCTTATGCTTTTTTCGTTGGAGTCGACCATGCTGTTTTCCTAGCGACGTTAAGACCTCACTACAATCAAGTTTTTTAATATTCAGCGCTTGTTTTATTTTTAATTTTGTATATCATGGATGATGGCTGCCGTATAAATATGAAGTTTAAAGTACCATAGAATAAATTTTTTTATTTTTTTGCAAAAAATAGAAATAAAAATTTTTTGTAGGCAATGTTTTGGTCAGGAACTCGTCAAATAGTGCACGAATATACCTACATTAAAAATTCATTCTTTACTCTTGAAGATACCTTTAATGGGTATGTTAATTTACCATTGTCTTATCTAGATTTATACTAAACGGTTAGAAGTATAACAAATGTATTTATAAATTGTATTTATCAAGTTGAATGTATTTGGTTATTTTAGATATGTTGCTAACGATCTTAATTGGTGTGGATGTAAAACCTGCCCTGATGGAATTAATTATAATAATTGTATGGGTTGTACAAAAGCAACTGACTCGTTTTGGGCGCGTGCTTCACGAACGGTAAACACTATTTTAAGTTTACATATATATAATGTTTTGCTGCGTCTTCATATACTAACTTATACTATAATACAATGTTTTTAACTATATTATATTCAAATATTAATCCTATATTAAATTCAAATAAAATTTAATGTGTTATTGAAATTTTTTAATGTTTTTAACGCTCAATAATAAGTGAGATATAAAAAATTAAGTTCGCTGAAAATGCAAGTGGCACAGCATATGTGATGGTAAATGGTACAACTGACAAAAATTATACTGCATATTACAATGGAAGGTATTTACTTTTTATTTTATTTTTATAGTTTAAATGATATTAAAAATTGAATCCAATTAGCAGATTGTGCATTAAATTTTATTGCCTATTAAATCTAAAAACAAAATTCACAAATTTGATGGTTTTGAGAAGAACTCTTAACAATAGTTTAGTAGTTTAAGTTGTTTTACTGAGTGTATAAACTTTTTCTTTTCCTTATTTTAAAACTTATAATTAATACTAATATAAGGTTGTTTAACCCAAGTTGTCCGTCGCTGCAAGGCAGTCTAACCTAGGTAGTCTATTGGTGCAAGGTAGACCAAAAGCTTTGTTTAAAAAATAGTATAGTTTTTAAAGTTTGTTAGATATTGTTTTCAAAATATTGTGAGATTTTAATGTATTTCTAAGAGCGTCTCATTATAGTGTTTAATGATATCTGAATGTAAACGCCTTCCACAAACGCTTCGTTATTTAGGTGCCCCAAGAAGTCTTTACTGTCTTTAGTGACAGCTAGGACTTCTTGGACCTTTAAGTGCATTTAACTAGGAAGGTCACGCTTCCTTCCTTACCGTGACGCGAAATATGTCTAAAGCTCGTTTCGAACCTGGATCTCCCTGCTTATAAAGTAAGGGCTCTAACCACTGCGCCACGGCTACACCACGGCCTTTTATAAACGCATTTTATAAACGCCCTTTATAAACGCCTTTTATAAACGCCTTCTATAAAAATTTAAAAATCTTTTTTATTTTTTATTTCAAAAATTCATTTAAAAAAAAAAATTTGTTCGCCTCCTTAAAGTGTAAAAGCATTAGTTTTATTTAAAAAAACTTTCTTTGCAAGTAATACTTTACCAGAAGAGGAGCCTCCGAGTATATATATATATATATATATATATATATATATATATATATATATATATATATATATATATATATATATATATATATATATATATATATATATATATATATATATATATATATATATATATATATATATATATATATATATATGTATATATATATATATATATATATGTATATATATATATGGTCTAAGTAGCACTAATTTAGTGATAATTTTCAAATAATTAACAATTATTTTAAAACTTTTTAACAACATGTTTCATCAATATCAATTGACATGATCAGGTATAAAAAATTAGTTACAATTTCTGTATAAAAAAAAATTTTTTGGCTGCAATAAATATTTAATATTTTTACAATAGTTACCATAGTTACATAAAATAAATAATTACCATGAAATTTTACATGAAGTTTATATATAAAATGTGTGAAATAATTAATAACAAACAAAATAGGAAATAAAAAGTAAGATAATAATGAAATATTGTTATAGTAATAGTGTATGATTTTAATTGTGTATTAAGAAGAGGTTTTTCATCTCAATATGGGTTCCTTCCTTAATTTTGAGTTCATACTTGAAGGAAGGTCTGTCAATAATGGAAAAGCAATCAGGATTTGTTGAACTTTTGCATTTTTGTGATGAATTGAGGTGTTTGTAAATATGGAAGCCTTATCAGAATTTAAATGTTTTGAAACCTTTGTTGTGTAGTGTCTAGTGGTTTCACCAATGTATCCAGCATTACAGCTGGAACAAACAAATTTATAGGCAACAAAGGATTTTAAACTTGAGGGTAAGGGGTCTTTTAATGGAAACATACTACTTATTTTAAAAGGAGTAAAAACTACTCTTGCTTTTATATTATCTTTACAATATTTTTTAATATATTTATTTAATTGGTGTTGAAGTGTATTTTAAATTTTTCCAATGTAAGGGAGTTCAAATTAATGTATATCAGATGGTTTTAAAGATAACATATTTTCTTTAGGAGAGATAAGGTTGTTTAGTAAAATTTTTAAGGTTTCGTCAATTAAGTTCAAGGAGAAAGGGTTTCTTTGGAGAGTTTGTTTAATTTTTACAATATCTAGATAAAAATTTACCCAGTTTTTGTCGATTTTGACAGTTGCCATTAATTTTGAAGGCCCTGTCAATCAGAGTTTTAATGAGTTTATAATTAATTGAAGCTGGTAAAATTAGTCAGTAACCTGTGTAAGTTTTTTTATAAAAACGTTGAAAAAATATATATATATACATATTCATAACAACAACTGAACGTGCTATTTTTCAATTAACACGTTGTATTAACGAATCTTTTAAAAATCTAAAATTTTCACTTGGTGTTTTCATTGGCTAGTCAAAAGCTTTCGACACGGTTGATCATAATATTTTGCTAAAAAATCTTGAATGCTATGGAGCAGGTATGGAATAGTAGCTAAAAGTTTCTTTAAATCTCTCCAACCAAAAGAAATCTTTAAGATTCCTCAAACACTAATTCCATTCAAACATCTCAAACATTAATGAACCTAACATATAGTGTCCCACAAGGATCCATACTTGGACCACTTCTTTTTTTTATATATATAAATGATTTTAACAAATGATTTTAACAGCATCTCATTTAAAGACTTTAATTTTTCCTGTCGACACAAATTTGTGTCAATGACATAAAAATATAAACATACTTTTTAATAATATAAACAGAGAACTTGAAATAATTTCTTTTTGATTAAAAAAAAAAAAGCTTTTGTTTTTTTAATTATCTTTAAATATTAAAAATACAAAATGGATACTTTTCTATTCAAACTATATAAAACAGATACTGCCTGTAAATATGCCTGATCTTTTTATTGACGATGTCATCCTAAAAAGAAAAAAAATGGCAAAATGTATAGTTTATATTGAAGAAAATCTGTCTTAAAGATCACGCAACAATAAAATTTTTACTAAAGTTGCAAAACACATTGTATAAACGAATCTTTCAAAAATCTAAAATTTTCACTTGGTGTTTTTATTGACTAGTCAAAAGCTTTCGACACGCAACAATAAAATTTCTAATAAAGTTGCAAAAAGTATTGAAATTATCTAGATATACAAATCTAGAGGTACCTTAAACAAAAACCAATTAACACAGTATCATACTACTCTTTTAATTATTGTCGTATAAATTAGGCAAGTATTATATGGGGAAGTACACATAAAACTAAACTAAAATCACTTTATCGGCATCAGAAACACGTAGCTCGCATAATAAATTTTTAAAACCGTTTTCCGAACTCTGAATCGCTTTTTAAAGAAATGGAACCCTTAAATGTTTATCAATTAAATGTATTTAATATTTTGTGTTTATGTACAAATGTAAAGAACTTATGTTTTTACAAAGTTAAACCCCAAAACAAATATAAGGGATAGTCAAATACGCAACGCTAAATTTGTTTAAAAAACAGAAGTAGGAGATCACTTTATTTTTTTAAAAACAAATATTTTCAGTTGCTATACTGCATATTGTTTTGTTATGTTTTATTGTGAGTTTCACCTCTGAAGCACGTGAAAAATTTAGTACAGAATGTAATATGTACACTATTAAATTTATGATATATATAGTGGTATTTATTTTATATGAATAAGATGTTCTTATTGTATAAAAAAATAGAGTTTTACATTGCAAAGGGATTCGTTATAAGGTCTTTACAAACTTCTTGAGGTTTATATATATATATATATATATATATATATATATATATATATATATATATATATATATATATATATCGAATAAAAAATAAACACATCTATAAGGAAATCAGTTTCTTTCTTTCTTAATTTTTTTATTTTTTATTTTAGACCATATTAATAAAGTTCAATGAATAAATCCCTTAAATATTGCTTTTGGATTAAATAAGATTTTCAGATTGTGGTTTGAATTGGGTTTTACCTGAATTTTTCCTTTTTTTCGATGCTTGTTAAAAATACCTTTGTGATTGTTGGTTATTTGGATATCTAAAAAATTTAATCTTTTGTTTTCATCTTCCAATTCAAATGTGTATTTAATGGCATGATGTTGACTGTTTAACATTTGTTAAAAACGGGTGGCATTATCTTTATTTATAAATCTTGCGTGGTTATCATTAACGTACCTCAAAAACAATTTTATTTCAAGCGGTGAATTAGAATGAAGCGCCATGTCAATTGCTTTATTTTTAAAAAATTGCAGGAAACCTTCCGCAAGTATTACCATGAGTAAAAGTCCTATGAGACATGAATCAACAAGCTCGTGAATTTTTAAAAATAACATTTATATAAACACAACTCTATTATTTCTGATTATATTTCTGACACGATTAGTTATGTTAGTTTATTTAAATTTGGAAAAGAGCTGTAACATATCAAGAAGAATTTTTGTAGCCTCTCCCAGAGGGATTGATTGATATAAATTGACAACGTCGTGAGACTGTATTTTATAGTTTGGTATACTCTAATGGTAGCTGTTTCGACAAAAGTTGACAAGTTTTATAACTTTGTTATATTTTTGTTTAAAATTTGTTTAAATATATTTACTAAATACTGTGATATTCCATAACTTGGTGTCCCGGTGGTTGAAACTACTATTCGCATATGGTATAGTTTTTCTGGCTTGTGCACTTTAATTACGCCATACATACGTGGTGGTATTAAGTTGCTTGGGTAAAGAATTTTATATTCTTTTTTAGTAAACCGCTCTTTTATATTCAATTTAGATTGATAAGTTCTAATTTTAGTAGCAAATTTAGTTGTTGGGTCATATTTAATTATCTTTGTTTTGCTAAATTCTTGGCGAATTTTGTTGTTTTTGTTTGTCTATTCTAACAAAGCCTGCTACTTTATCAAAAGAGTATACATCAATGTTTTTGTCCTCTTTAATTTCTTTTAATGCTTGTCTTTGGTTATGCTTTATGTTGCTGTTTTTTTACGGTTTAAACATTTTAAGTTGCCCCAACACGTTTCTTCTTAAGTCTTGTGAGCTCACAATTTTGTTGCTATTTTTCTCTCTACTTTGTTATTCTCTAGTTTAAATAAAGTGGATTCTGCCACTGAAATAAAGTCTAAATAAGGTATATTTATTTGTGTGGGATTATCTTCATTATAATATTCTAATATCCAATATCAAACAAACTTTTTCTTTCAAATACATAACAAACATTCTCACTTCTTGAAATTCTCTTCATGCAACAATATCTTTGTAGAAAATACTGGGACAAAAATATTTGGCAAAAAATCAATTAAACATCAGTGCACCAATGCTTGGAACAATCTCTCTCATTCTTTTAAAACTGGAAACTCAATATCTTGATATATTTTTCTCAATAAATTAAAAACACACAAATTGAATAGCTACAACAATAATTACATCAATTAAAGCAATATAATACTGGTAATATTCTTATTAAAAAATACTCTCCCATATGTTTTTTTATTCTTATTTTATTTCTTCAGATTCTCTACTTATCTACAGCTATTTTGTCCTTGTACAATGATTGTATGTGTATGTGAGCATGCATGTGTGAGTATATGTAAGCGTATGTGAATATATATGTGTGTATAGGTATATACATACATATATGTATGTGTGTATATGTATATATATATATGTATATATATATATATATATATATATATATATATATATATATATATATATATATATATATATATATATATATATATATATATATATATATATATATATATATATATATATATATAGTTGATGCAACAGCACTCCTCGCATGTTTTACCTACTTGTCAGTCAGTGTAACACCGCTCCTCTCAAGTTCTACCTATTTGTTAGTCAATGTAACAACACATCTTGTATGTTCTATTTATTTATCAGTTGATGTAGCAACACTCCTCCGTGTTCTAGATTTCATGTCCGGTTCGCTTGTAGTTTTCTCGCATAATTACAACATTAAAACTAAAAAGTTTTTCTTTTTTTAACTCAATGAGAATCTCCTACAAGTTTCAATCCTCATAAAAATTCTGCTGAAAACTTATATTAATTTATAAACCTTAAAAATAACTATTAAAACCCGCGAAAACATGTTATAATTCGCCGTTCCCACAGCAACTATAATTTGTAATGCGTTGTGATAAATTTATGCCGTAGCAATCATAACAATCTGAATTTCCTAAAAAGGCTCTATATATTGCAGATGAAATTGATTTTTCTTAGGAAGAATGTAGCTTCTTATCTTTTGAAAACTCTGTATTTATTTTATAATGGCTTTAAAAGTTATGAACAGTTTAAAGTTGTTTTTAAATATTTTCAATCAGAAGCTAGTTGGAGCTCAAATAAAAATATGGACAGTATGACATACAGTGTTATCTAAAAAATGTAAACTTTAACAAAAAATTACTCCAGAAACAGAATTTTTTATGGTTCTGTGTAGACTAAGATGTGGTTTTCTTATTGAGGGTTTAGGAGTTAGTTTCAATGTCAGCAAGCAACGTTAGCCGAACACTAATAGCATGAATAGATTTTCTTTAATCGCAGCTTTGCCAAATTCCGATTTGGTCATGAAAGAAAACAGTTTTAAAAACAATGCCTAACTGTTTTAAAAAGATGTATCCTTCTACTATAGTCATTCTAGATTGCACAGAAGTGTTTAATGAGATGCCAACAAGTTACCGTAGTCAATCAGCTCTGTATTATTCTTATAAACATCCTAACACTGCAAAAGAATTAATTAGAATTTCTCCAAGTGGTGCAGTGACATTTGTATTAGATATGTATGGCGGGAGAAGCACTGATTTTTAAATTATAAAATATTGAAAATTAACAATTTTATTTAAACAAGGTGACTCAGTTATGGCCGACAGAGGATTTGAAATTAATGAACTTCTTCCAAAAAAAACTTTATTTAATATTCCACCTTTCTATACTTTACCATCTCATGGTAAAGTATAGACAAGAAGAATTGTATCGGTTAGAGTAATAGAGCAATAGAGCGTGTAAAAAACAATAAAACTATATAAACAGGTTTTCCTCTATTAATGCCTGCTGATCTTAATAAAACATGGGTAATATGCTGCTATCCGGTGAATGTTTTGCCACCTATAGTGGTTGATAATGACAATGCAGACGAAGTATAAGTAGTTGTAAACAAAATAGTTTTTTTCATTTAAAAATATCACTAAACATATACTTGAATAGAATCTTAAGAGCTTAGATAAAATTAAGTTTGTCTTTTATTAAACTTTCTTTTCGTGGTTTCAGCCACCGTGCCACAAAAATAAACACGTTAAAATAAGTATGGCTTAATCAAAGAATATTTTAACCAGTCAGGGTTACATTTTGAAGTTACATTTAGATCATTTTTATGGGTAGTATATAAAATTTCCTAATAATGTTTTCTTGCGGCATACATTTACTACAATGCATTGTGAAATTTATCTATAGTGGGAACGGCAAATTACACTTAAACCGTATAAAAATATTTACAATAACAATTTTTTAATTCTTTTTTTTTTTTAATTTAATGTGCCCCAAGATGACCTAACGGTCTTGTCACAGAGCCCCGCGGAAGAGGTTTAACAGGAAGTTCACTATGACGAGACCGTTGGAACTTTTTGAGGCACCTAAAATAAAAAAAAATTAATAAAAATAAAATCTCATTTTTTTTAATATTACTTTTTTGAACGTCTTTTGAACGTCTTTTGAAGTTTTGGAACGAATTGCATGCTGCCAGGGGCTTCTGTAGATACATCGACTGACAAATAACCTGAGTTGCAGTGGAGTGCTGCTACATCGACTGAGGGTTTTGTATGGGTCAGCAATCTTTTGATTCATTATTCTTCGTTTTCTTTTTCTTTTTCTAAAAAAGCCGCATCAATTCAGATGAGCAAAAAAAGTGAATAAGTGCACATATAAATATGCTATAGTAGATATATATATATATGAGATTTTTTATATCAAATTGATTTTTTAAAACGCATATAAGAATGAATAAATGCGCATATAAGAATGAATAGAGACGCGTTTATAAGAATGAATAAAGGCGCATATAAAAATGAATAGACGCGCATGAATAAGAATGAATAACCCTGTAAGATAATCATTGTAAACGAATAATGAATTTTTCTATAATTCAACATATTATAAAAACTAATACTATTGAAAATTATTAATTGACATTTAACACTTTTTTACAATTCCTTGTTATGACGTTATGACGTTGTCACGTTATGAGCTTGTAATGTTATGTCAATTGTTTTAGTTCCACGTCATAATAAGTTGAACTTTTATTTTATTATCTTGGATAAAAGTTCAAATCAAGACTAAATTTTTTTTTGTTGAATTTTTCATATGATTTGTCCGAATTTAAAATCTTCATAACAAAAATGGAACGCATAATTTAAAAGTTTCATTAACATACTTAAAAATCTAATATGTAATTAGTCTGTTATTTTTATTACAGTGGTTTTAAGCACTCGCTAAATTAACATAAAGAATATTTAACAACCAATAATTTTAACATGAAGAATATTTAACAACCAATTATTTTAACATGAAGAATATTTAACAACCAATAAAATTAACATGAAGAATATTTAACAACCAATTATTTTAACATGAAGAATATTTAACAACCAATAAAATTAACATGAAGAATATTTAACAACCAATAATTTTAACATGAAGAATATTTAACAACCAATTATTTTAACATGAAGAATATTTAACAACCAATAATTTTAACATGAAGAATATTTAACAACCAATAAAATTAACATGAAGAATATTTAAAAACCAATAAAAAAATAATTAAATAAAGAGTTAAATAAAAAAAAAAAGTCTATTTAGTAATCCTTCACAAAATATATTTTTTCTTACTTAAAAAAAGCTATATATAGTTTATTTAGAATAAATGTCCACATAATTCTTTGGAATATTTTTATAAACAAGTGTTTTTATGTTTATATAGCTATTTTGGGAGAATAGAACTTCCAACTCTAGGAAAAATGAAGCAAATTACAAGTTTGGTCATTCTTGTGATAAATAATCTCGATACAACACCCAAGTAATTATCTTGATAATTTTTTTTTTGAAATATAATTAAAAAAAAAATTTTTGATAATTATTTAAAAAGTATACATTTTAAATAATTTATTTATTTATATTTATTATAATTAATTTAATTTTTTATAAAAATACTTTTTATTTTAAATGATATAACTTTAGAGAATTATGTGGCCAAGGTTCATTAGCGAAACTTGTTCAAGATGCTAACAAATTGGGGATTTTTAATATAAATTGTATTGACGATCCAAGGTAGTTATTCTTTAAAATAATAATTTCTTTATTTATTGAAAAAAAAGTATTTTCTATTTTGTTTGAAGCATTTGTTATAAATGTAATTTTTGATAATAAAAAAGTTTTTAGTATAAGTATTTTTTAAATTTTATGTTTAAGGGACACGTATTTTATGCAATGTGCAAAGTACCCTAACGCCCAAGAATGTCAAACAACAAGTAGCTCATTATTAAACACTATATCGTAAGTGTATCATTTAAAAGAAGTTTATTCAAACCTATAGAACAGAATAGCAAATGACAAACAAAATAACTTTTGTTTAAATAAAGTATTGCATAATATGTAAAATTAGCTAAAAATAATGAAATAACATAGAAAAATAACATAAAAAGAAACATAGAAAAATAACATAGAAAAACTTTTGAAACACTTAATTTGAGCAGTTATAATAAAAACAAAAATAAGAAAACTTGAATAAAGAGTGTAAGAAGTTTTCTAATAAGCTTTCAAATTTCTTTAACTTTTTTTCTTTAGGTGGAAGAGTTTTACGGTTTTATTTCTAGCTTGGTCAATAATTTTATATTTTCAGATTGTTTAAATGTATATATATATATATATATATATATATATATATATATATATTGTATATATATGTATATATATATATATATATATATATATATATATATATATATATATATATATATATATTTAAATTTATTAAATAAATTAATGTTATTGTTACTATTTATAAATTGTTATACGATAATGCATTGCAATTGTACTTCACATTTGTTTAAATGCAACAAATAAAAAATCATTGTTCTAGTTTACAGAAACCCAATGTTAGTGGTCCGTTTTTTATTTTTAATTTTTGTGTTTTTTAAATGGGTTTCGTGTTGTACAGGTTTTTAAAATAAATTATAATTTTTAAATTGATTATAAATTACTTTTTGAATGTTAAATTTGATGAAAAAAATAAACTTTGTATTTTTCATTATATTTGATGTAGTTTTGCTTTATATTTAGTAAATTTTGCTTTATAGCTAGTAAATTTTGCTTAATATTAAGTAAACTTTGCTTTATATTTGATAAAACAATAAATAACTGATATCTACTAGTCATTTTCTGAAAGAACAGATAAATTTTTTCATCTCGCTTGTCGCTTTTTATAAAACATTTTTGTCAACCCCCCGGCATAAAGACGTTTATAAGACATCTAAAAGTAGCTTAAGTAAGCGTCTGAAGCACATCTTTAGACGTCTATCTGTTAACACCTTTGAGACATTTCGTATAGACGTCTGTAAGAAGTATTGCGACAGACGTCAATAAGAAGTCTAGTATTAGATATCTTGTAGACGTCTATTTGAAAACTCGCCTTAGCGTTTAAAAAACGTCTTAAGGCGTTTTTAAGACGTCTTGCTGAGATGTCTATTAGACTTTCTCTTAGCGTTTGTAGCATTATAAATCGATTCGATTAATAATACAAATTCGGCACTTAAATTATATTTATAATCATATTTTATACATTTTTACGTTTAAGGTAATATATAACCAAAATGTAAAAGAAACTATATATCTGCAATAAAACATACAATTATATTATTATTTTTTATAGGACTGCTACCTATTTTGCTCGTGCTGGGGCATTTTTAAGGATGCTCTGAACAGCTTAAGTAAAATTCTTTTTCCGCCATCTTTAAAAATTTGAGCTTCTTTGTATATTGTTTTGTAGGTCTCGGTTCCGCTAAAAACTAACTCATTTTGGCTTCCGATACTATTCATGGTCATTTCACGCATGACAAGATCGGTGAAAAATTGTTTGATTATGTTCTTGATCATATATATATATATATATATATATATATATATATATATATATATATATATATATATATATATATATATATATATATATATATATATATATATATATATATATATATATATATATATATATATATATATATATATATATATATATTATATATATATATATATATATATATATATATATATATATATATATATATATATATATATATATATATCCAGCGGGCACAGACGTGAATCAAACGTCTTACGGACGTCTTAACTAGGTCGCGACGTCTCAGACCAAATAAGGACGTCCTAAAGACGTATGGTAAAGACGTCTTTGTTAGGACGTCCTTGTGACGTTAATATAAAGACGATATCAGGACTTTAATATTTAGACGTCCTACTGACGTCGCTAAGACCTACATAAGACGTCCTAATTAGAGACGGAAATATTTGCATACCGCCGCTATTTAGAGGCCGTCTTCAATGGCTTCTGCCTCCTAACTGGCTGCGGCCGTCAAATTGGAGACGGAAATATTTGCATACCGCCGGCGAATGTAATGAAAAATAATTGCTCGTTTGCTTTAAAGCAATTAAATATTATTTAGAAACAAATGTTAAATACTTGACATCAAAGTTTTATTTTATATGATTATTATTAAACTATTAAACTTAACTATTAAAAAACTTTTTTGAAAAAAAATTATAATTTTGTCAGAGCGGTTGTTTTTCTAGGACTATCAAAATAGTTAGTAACTTTTATTTCAAAACAAATGTTAATAATAAAAATTTTGTTTACATGCCAAGAAAAAAAGTCGAAAAAAAGTTTATGACAAATAACTAAATTGTCAGTTTTTGATCAATGTTTGATATTTTGTCGCCCATACGTCATGCTAAAACTTTAATTTTTGGACCATAGCATAAAATTATTAATTTTAGTCATTATATATTGTAAAAATATTTGAATAACACAACATCTTTTAATATTATTAAAAGTTAATAAAATTAATTTATTTTGATGTTGGTTTGAATTGATCTTTTTCCAATAATCCAAACTTTAACAAAAAACAATTTTTACTGATAGTAAAATTTTTTGCTACATAATTGAAAATGAAAAACGCGCTTTAGAAGCTGTGCATACGGATAAAATAAATCCCGCCTAACTGGGATTAAAAAAACACTGAGATCTAGACTCTCCTTTGAAACTCATACAATTTTAATATTACGTTAATTTATAGGCGAGACCTCACCTAGGCAGGAAAGTAATTTACTTTCCTGCCTAGGTGAGGTCTCGCCTATAAATCACCGGGTTCCCGTTAAGACGGCGTAAAAACTCTTCATATGAACACAAGCTAAAAATTCGGTTGCAAAAAAATTGATTTTCAAAAAAAAATTTAACGTATAAGTTTTTATTATTGGAAAAAAATATAATTCAAGCTGACATCAAATTAAACTAAATTTGTTAATTTTTTATGAAGGTAGTATTTTTCAATTATTTTTACAATATACAAAATGATTCATATTAGGAATTTAAGGACGACCACAAAAAAAAAATCAAATCTGTTACAAATATTTAAAAACTATCATTTGATTCAAATTAGTTAATATATATCTTACAACGTAAATATCGCTAAAAATGTGTATCTTTCATAAAAAAGCATAAAATTGTCAAATTCACGTTAAAATAAAGCTTTAATAACTACACTTGCAACACGATTTTTGAAGTTATAGTAATGCTTCAGCCTTGAAACAATTGTCTGCTAAGTATAATAAGCATGATATTCTTTTTTTAACTTTGACATCATCTTTTGTAAGCATAATATTTAAATGATTTGTATCTTTTTGATGAAACGGCAATAAACTTTTAAAGTCAAATTTTACATTAAGGAAATTAAAAACTCTGTTTAAGACCGTATTTGCCGTCATTGAAGTAAAGGATTGCAGTAATAACACCCACTTCAAGCGAAAATCTTGTAACAAAAATATTTTTTGATTCTAACTGACATATATTTAATTCTTTGTTATAAACTCTTTTTTTCAAAATGTATGAAAAATTTTTTTACTTCTTTAAATTCCGATATAGTATGAGATTTTTACTTCTCTGTTTTTTATTAATGATAAATTTTTACTATCCAGTAAAAAATTTCATTTTATATTTTTATTCACCTTCTTTTTTTTTCATCACTTTTTTTTCGCTAGTACCTTTTTTTCTGAGAAATTGTTTACAACAATTTAAGCTGCATATAGAGTAAGATGCAAAATGTAGGAGTTAAAGAATATTTTGAAGTGACTAAAAATAAGAAATGGAAATGCTAAGTGTGCATAGAAAAAAACTTAATTCTTGCCGGTAATGTTTCTCACCTCAAAAATCATTTGCATTCACAACACAAGGATATTGCCATAGAACTTTGAATATTTGAAAGAAAAAGAGTTCAAAACAAAAATCATGATAACGTTGAAAAAGTTATTTTTGTTTCACGTAGAACGGTTAAGTATGACTTTGATATTAACGATACAGAAAGAAATTTTATAAAGTCAATTAAGAAATACTTAGCAAACATGTCAGTGTTGAATCAACGTTGAAAACCAGTCGCAGAGAATACCGATTAAATGCTGATGCAGTTGAAGTTGTATCTGGTTTTCTAACAGAAACATTTTAAAATCCTGTTAACCAATCTCGAACAGCCTTTTTTTGCTCTATCCAACGCATGGGATATTTTATTTTATTTGCTTGAACTATTTCAAAAGCTAGAGCTCTTACTTAAACTGGTGTAAGGCCATATAGCATATTAGAACATGTCTTTAGATAAGTGTTCAGTGTTTGTTCTTGCACAACAGAGAAAATTATAGAATGTTGATAATTTGGTTATAGATTAGCAGCTGAGTATTGACACTTTTTTTTAATACACCTTTGAAGTGTAGACTTTGAAATGCCAGCTGAATATGCTGCTTATCTAAGGCTCATCCCATTTTGCACTTCGGCTACAGCAACTTTTAAAATGTTTTCTAAAACATGTGGACTTTTACTTTTTCTTTTACCCTTTTTTAGGTACAAACTTTAGGCATGACCTGAAATTTAAAAAAAAAAATTAGGTTTGAAAAAAAATATATTTATTTGTTATGGTATTAAGGTTAATGTTAATACTATACCTTTTGTCAGTCAATTATGAAATTATGGTTTTATTTAAGATTAAAAAAACTTTTATGCATGCCTTTTGGTTTCCAAATGTTTTTAAATTATTAATGTAAAAAGTCTTCTCAATTTACTCCAAACAATAACGATGAATCATGTCAAATTTATCTTTAATAAAGATATCTCTTTCCAAATTTTGTTTTTAATTCAATTGTATAAGAACTAAAACTAAAATTAAATACTTCAATTAAACGTATCAATATTTTTATTTTGAAAACTATAAAAAATCGTAGCCACAATGTTCTAGAAATTTCCGCAATAAAATAACGCATAACTGTTAAGAAGAAGTGGAACAACGACTTTTTTCTCTGTTGCGCTTCACCCCTATGTAGGGGAGACGACATAAAACTAAAATTACAGCCACACAGGTAAAGTTAAAATACAAATTTAATTACTAAATGTTAGATGATAAGTGTAAATGTTAGATGATAAGTATTTCTCTATATATATATATATATATATATATATATATATATATATATATATATATATATATATATATATATATATATATATATATATATATATATATATATATATATATATATATATATATATATATATATATATATATATATATATGTATATATATATATATATATATATATATATATATATATATATATATATATATATATATATATATATATATATATATATATATATATATATATATGTCTGTGTGTATGGATAAAGAAAAAGATAGTATCAATTCATGTTTATTATAATTATTATGAATATTGGCATTAGGAAATATTTT